ACCTCTCCAGCCCTGCTAGCAGAAATTTTTAATAATTAGCATATGAAGTTATGAGTTTGATCATGGCATTTTCATACATACTTTTTATTTTATTTATTTCCCTGCACCCCTCTCCTGCTTGTATCTTCTTTCTCTCATTAGATTCAGTCCACTTTCATGTTACATATATTGCCTTTAAAACCTTTTTGTCTGAGTGCCTGTAGTGCCACATGCCTTTAATCTCAGCACTTGGGAGGCAGAGGCCCAGTTCACCGCCCTGCTGGACAGGGCAGAGGCAGGCAGATTTCTGCCTGGTCTACAGAGTGAGTTCTAGGACAGCCAAGGCTACACAGAGAAACCCTGTCTCGAAAAACCAAAAATAAATAAATAAATAAATAAATAAAAAATAAAAAAAAAGAAAAGAAAAAAGAAAAACCAAAATCAAACCATAGAAAACCTACCTCAGTGCTGGGAGATTATCAAGAAGCCCGACTAAGGATATAATTATTCTGAACAAGCAGCTAGGGTATCTGCTATCTTCTGCTTTTCTTTTATCTTCAGCAATATTCAATTAGTATAAGAATTTATTTATTGAAAATTGGTGGGAACTGAAGAGATGGCTCACTGGTTAAGAGCACTGACTGCTCTTCCAGAGGTCCTGAGTTCAAGTCCCAGCAACCACATGGTGGCTCACAACCATCTGTAATGGGATCCAATGCCCTCTTCTGGTGTGTCTGAAGACAGCTACAGTGTACTCATATAAATAAATAAATCTTTAAAACAAAACAACAACAAACGAAAATTGGCAAAATATATACTCAGATTAAGATTTTTGCCGAAGCCAATTTTTTAAAAAAAAAATGTGTACAGGTATCTATTTTGCTAGCATGAATATATCTGGGTACCGCATGCACACCTGGTGCCTACTGAAGCCAGATAAAGGTGCTGGATTCCCTAAAACTGGAGCTACAGTTGTCAGGAGACATGTAGATCTAGGAATTAAACGCAGGTCCTCTGGAAGAGCATCCAGTGCTCTCAACCATGGATCCCTCTCTCCCGCCCCAGAATCAATAAACCAGTCTCATGAGTGTCTTTTTTTCTTTTAAAGTGATATATTTTTATTTTATGTGCATTGATTGGTGTTTTGCTTACATGTATGTCTGTGTGAGGGGTGTTTGGTCCTCTGGAACTGGAGTTATAGACAGTTGTAAGATGTCATATGGGTGCTGGGATTTGATCACGGGTCCACTGGAAGAGCAGCCAATGCTCTTAAGTGCTGAACCATGTCTCCAGGTCTATGCCTTTTCCCTTTAGACAGGGTTTGACTTCAGGCTGGCCTTGAATTCAGTCCTTCAGCGTCAATGTTCTGAGTGTTAGGATTATAGGCTTGTGCCACTATGCTTGGCTGAGCATCAATCTTAAGTATACTTGTTTTAGAAGGAAGGCCCAGGGCTGGTGCGATCCTTGGCGGCGGCAGCTGCTGCGGGAGTCGTGGTGGGTGGCGAGCCTACCTCCGCGATGGAGAAGCTAGTTTCCTAATGCTGAGCAGTTCTGTTCCTACTCGGAGAGCGAGAGCAATGGAAAGAGCGCATGGAGTTCATCTTGCACCACCTGCCTGACTACCGAGACCCACTGGACCGCGGCAGCCGCCTGGACCAGCTGCTGTCCTTATCCGTGGTCTGGGCCAACCACCTCTTCCTGGGTTGCAGTTATAACAAAGACCTTCTGGACAAGGTGATGGAAATGGCTGATGGGATTGAAGTGGAAGACCTGCCACAGTTTACAAGCAGAAGTGAAGTAATGAAACAAGCATCAAAGCTAAGGCAGATTTCCACATTTCCACCTTGGGGACAGACTTAGAAAGGAGGCCAGGGTGAAGGTGACTGAACATTGGCAGTTCTCAAGATTCGTGGTATTGCCAGGCAGTGGTGGCGCACACCTGTAATCCCAGCACTTGGGAGGCAGAGGCAGGTGGATTTCTGAGTTCGAGGCTAGCCTGGTCTACAGAGTGAGTTCTAGGACAGCCAGGGCTACACAGAGAAACCGTGTCTCGAAGAAACAAAAAACAAAAAACAAACAAACAAAAAAAGATTCCTGGTATTTGCAGCATAGAGGCAGCTGGAATGAAAGGGGACGGGCCCCAAGGGCTTCAAAGAAGTCTTCGTTCTTCCAGGACTGCTGTAAAAATACAAGCGCATATTTATGTATTCATACATGGCCGACCCTCAGAAATTTCATCAGGATTGTCAAAGCCAAGCTTTGTTTGAAATGCCTTTTATGTTGACATAACATGAGAGGTGATAAATTTTATAATTTGATTTTTTTAGTACCTGTAAATATATTTGTTTTTGCCATACCCCCACCCATTTTTGTCCTGAGGCAAGGCAGGTCCTGTGTCCTTATCCCGAACCCACTCTATACTTGTACTGAACTGCTGATGGCCACCAAAGGACTATGAACTGTGTCACTGGAGCACCCCCACTGCTGGGCTCAGGGACCTTTGTGCAGGAAATGGGAATCATGGTGCAGGCCCGAAGTAGCAGAGCTAGCTCATAGGCAGGAGGCAAGGTACAAAAAAACCCATCCAGCCTCACTTTAAAACTCACTGGAGGCTAGAGACGTAGCTCAGTTGTAGAATACTTGCTTAGCATGCTTGAGGTCCTAGGTTTGGACCCTAGTATTTCAAAGAGAAAAAAAAAAAGCTACTTCGATTAAAAATTGCTGGAAGTATATATGGTTTTTTTCAACCAACCAGATGATTTCTAGACACTAGATGCCTATGTGCCTGCATTTTTTTTATTTCTAGAGGCTTTTTTAAAAAAAACTTTTTATTTTTTATATACATGAGTACACTGTTGCTGTCTTCAGACACACTACAAGAAGCCATCCGATCCCATTACAGATGGTTGTGAGGCACCATGTGGGTGCTGGAAATTGAACTCAGGTCCTCTGGAAGAACAGTCAGTGCTCTTAACTGTTGAGTCATTTCTCCAGCCCCTCTAGAAGACTTTCACACTTGAAGAACTGACTGCCTTTGCATATCGCCTCTGAATTGCAGTGTAATCCCGCTTTGCTCTGAGATGGTGGTATTGACATTCCACTTGACAGCTGACATATGTGTTCTGATCCCCCTTCCAGTTCCCTGTATTTAGTCACCACTAGATAACTGAACAGTAGGCAGCCATGAAGCAGTATACCACAGCAGGACTCATCAGTGGCAGGCCCATTATATATTTATAGCCAGAAAGATAGTGGGGTCTGCCTTAGCTTCATCTACTGGATGCAGGAAATTGGACACCCAGACACTGGTGTTTGGCATCAGAGCAGTGAGACACATTGTTGTTTGCGGCTTGAGATAAAGGCCACATTTTTATGTGGCTTCAGCTCCAGTCCCCAGTGACCATTGATTTGATACCTTAGACCAGTTTCTCTAGGCAATGAAAGACCACCTGTCACAGAGGGTAATGGCAAGTTGGTGTCTGTTGGAGGGCAGAGCTCTGTGCTCACTGAGCTGGAGCCTCATCTTCTCAGATGCAGCCATTCTAATCATCTGTGCAGATTTGTGAGGCTTAAAAACAAAATGCACTTTCCATAGATTGTTATTTTCTGTCTACAACCCCCAATAAAACAGCTTTTCCACTGGGGAGGAGAAAAAAAAAGGTAGGCCCAAGCAAGGAAGCTTGAATCTCACTTAGAAGGGGAATAAAACCGAAGAGGCAGATGGAGAGAGGAACTGGGAGGGAGAAGGAATGGCAGGTTCAGGATCAGGTGTGGCCTAGACTTCATGAATTGAAAGCTGCAACTGACTGGGGTGAGGAGGTGGGGGGATTCTCTAGGATGAGAGAGACCTGGGATAAGGGAGGCACCCAACAATCATTGGGGGTGACCTTAGGTGTAAGAGCATTGGGGATATGGAACCTGAAGAGGCCATCTCCTGTAGCCAGGCAGGAACCCCAGTGGAGTGACAAGAACACCAACCCACCTACGAAACTTTCAAACCAAAAATTATCCTGTTTACAAGAAACAGGGGTAGGGTAGGGTGTGGAACAGAGACTGAGGAAATGGCCAACCAATAACAGGCCCAAGTTGAGGCCCATTCCACGGGCAAGCACCAATCCCTGACACTATTAATGATACTTTGTATGTTTGGAACAAGTTGTCCTCTGAGAGGCTCTGCCCAGCAGTCAGATGGACGCAGATACCCACAGTAAAACAATGGATGGAGCTTGGGGACTCTTATGGAAGAATAGGAGGATTTGGGGCCCCAAAGGGATAAGAATATCACAGGAAGAACAGAGTCAACTAATCTGGACCCTTGGGGTTTTCAGAGACTGAACCACCAACCAAAGAACATACTGGAGCTGGGACTATCCCAAAAGCTGTTGCCTGTCTATGGGATATGCTCTTCTAGCTGGGCCACCTTGTGTGGCCTCAGTGGGAGAAGTACCTAACCTTGCAGAGACTTAAAGTGCCAGGTGGGCACACCTGCTCAGAGGAGCAGAGGAACAGAGGGAAGGATTGTGGGAGGCGGTGACCAAGATAGGGTCAGTGAGTGGGGTGTAAAGTGAATAAGTAAAAAATAAGATTAAAAAAAATGTTTTTAGAAAAAAACAAACCCAAAGTATCTATTTCATGAAAAGCATCACCAAATGAAGCCTTTTTCAAGAAATGAGATTTATGAATCCAGTTATTTGCACACTTATTAGTTCTACTCCTCTGTACACAAACTAGCCCACACATCTCACCTTTGGAGGATACATACAGAATATACAAATAGTCTTTGGGTGACACTGATGCCCCTTATTTTTTAGACTAACTTTAAATCAGTACTGATTTGCTGAGAATCATTGCATTGACTTGAAGTGACTTTTAAGACAAGGAGGTACAATTCACACAGATGCTTGAAATTAATAATAAGAGATTCTGGTTTCTGTTTTGACATGAGAAGCCATTCAATATTTTTAGTCTCATACCAGAATTTCTAGAGTAAAGTATCTACAAAACACATGGGCAAATAGATATAAATTAACACTTGATTCAGAACCTTGTTTTATTTGTTTTCTTCATGCTACAATACAACCTTTCAGAGTAAAATACATAATGTCCATAGATTTCCTCAAACACAAGACTCAAAGCTGCAGTTCTAAACCTCTCTAAGGCAGCTGCAATATCCAAAAGAGCACAGCATAGTAACTGTGGCACTAAATCCCATTTGTACGTAAATCAAAAGAAAAGCAACCGAAAGAACCAAAAATCAGTGACGTCATTATTTGGGATGCACATTTCTAAACTTACTTCTTTCTCAACACCGGCAAGTTTTAAAAACTACTGAAGCCTGGACTCCACCCCAGGGCTCTTTTCCCCTCCTTGAAACTTCCCCAACAATTCTTACGTCAGCCAGAGTTGGAAATCATTGCTGTAAGAGTATCTAAGCAAAAACATGATTTAAAAAGCACAGTACAAGAAAATTGCAGACACGTGGGGAATAGATTTAGAAACCAAAGGACACAGTTTTTGAACAATTTTTACCTCTTTCAAGGCTCAAAGATTACCCATAGCACAATTTCCGCCATAATCCTATCAACTAAGGAAAGGTACTACTGCTAGGGGCAGTGGAGCCAATGGTAGAGTGTTTATTCATCATGCAAGAGACTGTTTCATCCATAGCTTACTAAAACAAAGACCTCAAAAAAGCAACCTGGACAGAACCTTGTCAATTATCACTAATCACCCATTGTTATACTCTTTGCCACTGAGGGAAGAGTGAGATTTTAGACATAAATAATAAAGACGTAGTCTCAGGGCACTGGAAGAGTAAGAACTCTGGTACTTGATTCCTAAGGTCCCATCCAGGAAATGAATAATAAAGATCCATCTGTGTTAAGGGTATGGGCATGCAATTTCTTAAGAGCGGTGTTCATTTGAGCCCATTGGTTGTCTTCCTTCAAATTTCAGACAACAGAATCACAAATAGAAGGACAAATAAAGGGGTAGGTCTTTATCTTTTACTAATTGCCCTTCACACTATGGAGCTACTCACAGATGAACCATGAGATCATTTCAATTTAGGTAAGTTCATGATACACGTGCTATACTAAAGGCTGGTTGCAGCAAGGTTTCACTTCAAACTTTCATTGATTGATAAATTAGACATGATTTTGGGAATGTTTTACTTTTGCTAAAATGTAGATTTGATCCAACGTATTATATAGTATACCACTCTTCACATTTACTTTTAGGCCCCATATTACAAGTAGGTTACAGCCCTAGCAATGGGCAAAGAAACACCTTGTGGTGGTATTGTTCGATATCAGGGGCAGAGGAGATGGCAGTCCTTTGTTCATCCTAGCTGATGGCCAAAACTCATCTTATGCCAAGGGCTTATAAAAATCAAATTAAATCAAGGCAGCGCAGCATGGGAAGAGAAATACAAGGTCTTGTAGACCTCCATGCCACCCATAGACCTGCCCTCCAGTACATGGCCATAGATACCTGCTTGTCACCATGACAGATGGGAGAGAAAAAAGGAATTGAAGGCTGTAGAGTGGAGAGAAGTAGCCTGTTATGAGTGGACATCCCTGCCATTGGGACCATGTTTGAGTCTGTGGCTCCACAGTGGCGGGTCAGTGTCCATGGTTCATTATTATCACCAGAGAATACTGGGATGTCTAGGCTATGCAGATTTGGCCCCACCCCTCATTGGATACAGCACTCTGGACAGCTGGCCCTGTCACTTGTCTGTTATGAGGCAGTGTGGATAGGATGCCCTCCCTCATTGCCACCTTCTAGGGAGAGCTGGCCTTAAGGGCATGAGCATCCCTGCACCTCACCTGGGCACACAGTGAAGCTGGCCCTGATGGTAAAGGCACACTAGGAGAGCTGGCCCAGCTCAGCTACTACCCTGGTCCAGATCCAGGGCTCTGAATTGACCTACCCCAAAATCACTATCATCTTCTAATGGTTGGGATCATGAAATGGCCAGCCCTGCTGTTCTAAAGTTGCAGGATCTCCACGATACAGCACAGCAACAGGGTAACTAGAGGGAGTCCTAACGAGGATCCAACACTGGTGTTGTCACAGAAGCTACAGCTTCCACGATGACTTGTTTTCTATGCTTTGTCTTGTTATTGTTGTTTGTGTGTTATTCATTTTGTGGGAGGTTGTGAGGGCAAAGGTCGGATATGAGGGGATGACTGGGATTAGGCTACATGATGTAAAACAAGGAATCAAAAAAAAAAAAAAAAAAAAAGTAGAGGTTACATTTTCATCACCAAAATATAAGATAAACTTATAGCTATTAGTAAGGTAATGAGCTATGAAATGAATTCTCTCTAGTATTGCTTTGAAAATATACCCCTAGGCTATTAAAAGAAATTCCGACTCCATCCCAAGGCATTGTTTAACTTGAAGTCTTCAGTCATCATCTACAGTCGGCTTAATGGTCACTCCTCTTCTTATCTGACCCCAACCAATTAAACTGCAAAATAAAAATAGAAGAAATTATGAGCTTCACCCCCACCACACTGGCATCACCACAGTACCATATGACCGTGCAGTACCCGTCTATCTTCTAAATTCACCTGCTTCACCATAAAGAAAGCTTACACCATTTTTTCGGGCTTTAAAAAGGAGATGGGAGCTGGAGAGATGGCTCAGCAGTTAAGAGTATTGTCTGCTCTTCCAGAGGTCATGAATTCAATTCCCAGCAACCACATGGTGGCTCACAACCATCTGTAATGGGATCCGATGCCCTCTTCTGATGTGTCAGTGACAGGATGCTGATATACATTAAATAAATCTTAATAAAAAAATACTTCTTTAAAAGGCAGATGGATGGATGCTGAATGGCATGACAAGAAAATCAAACAAAACCTCCTGTCATAAATATACTAGTGAGTTGGGTGTGGTAGTACACACCTATAAATTCAAGCATTTGGGAGAGAGGAAAATGAGGAGTTAGTTCATGGCTACATATTAAGTGTGTGGCTAGCCTAGGCAACAGGAAATCACATCTTAAAAAACAGAAACTTGCCAGTTGTGGTGGTGTATGCCAGTACCCAGGAAGTAGAGGAAGGCAGATCTCTGTGTTTAAGAACTGCCTAGTCTACAAAGTGAGACCTTGTATTAAAGAAAACAAATAAGACCTAAGTTATTTGGAGAGGTGGCTCAATGGTGAAGGGCACTTGCTGCTCTTGCAGAGGACCTGGGTTCAGCTCCTAGGACCCATATGGTAGCTCACAATCACACAGATTTATGAATTACAACACTGGGCAAGCATGTAGTACACATATATACATTCAGGAACACATTCATTCACATAAAATATATTTGTCTTTAGTGGTCTATCAAAAAACCAAAACAGAACAAAACAAAAAACCACCTACCCATTCAGACTGTTCAGATCCACTTAAGGAACCTTCAGATCACTCAAATTATATCTCTAACATGTCTTGTGTGCACGCACCTGTCTGTCTGTATATGTGGTTTTTTTTTTAAAAGGACTTTCACTATGTAGTTCTGGATGCCTGGAAGTTGCTTTGTAAACTAGGCTGGCCTGGAACTTGAGGTCCACCTGAGTATGCTTCCTATATGCTTGGATTAAAGGCCTGTGCCATTATACCAAGCTCAAATTTAAAAAAACAAAACAAACTGTAATTATCTATGTCTATCTTTGGAAAATGCTTTCTTTCCATTGACAGTGCCTCATCAGATCACAATGTCTTTAAATAACATCAGTTGGGAAAAGAAAGAACCACAGAAACACTAAGCAGACTGCTTTCCACAGCAGGACTTGGCTAGCAGTGGTATGACATCCTTTTAATCCCAGCACTCAGGAGGCAGAAGTGGATGGATGATTGGGAGTTTCGGGCAAGCTTAGTCTATACAGCTAGTTCCACACAGCAGCCAGAGCTACATAGAGAGACCCTGACTTTTTTTTGGGTGGAGGTGGTGGTAGAGATAACAAAAGGTCAGTGACTGCTACACCATACGGTGACAATTCAGATAAATGTTTTTAGCAAGAATGCAATGAGACTGTCACTTGCAAAGTATCAAAGAAAGATGGACAAATGAAATAGGTGGTGAGGAACACAGCCAAGGCACAGGGGAATAATTTTGAGGAAAATCCAGGCTGTGGAATAGTCTAAACCAACAGAAAAGATTAAACAGACCAAAACTGGTTTCCAGAAAGATCCCAAATACCCTCAAGCAGCAAGAAAATAATAGGAATTCTTTAGTGCAGCATTATGACAAGGTTTACACGATTCATTGTGATTGAGCCCTTAAGTATCAACAGATACAGCAAAGCAGGACTTTTTTGCTACAACTTTTTAAGTTAAAACGACAGTGTCATAGACCATGATGCATTGAGGAACGGTGAAGGAGTAGACCCAATTACTAATTTGGGAAAGAACCCAGAACCAGAAATCAAAGGTAAATATGTGCTTTCCAGCTAGTGCATAGACTTGTATTTCTAAAACTGAAGTAGAGAGGTACAAAACGAGCCTGGAGCATCTTGTGTTAGAGAATAAGCTTGTACCAAAAGAAACAACAAAATACAAAATGGATAAGAGAACACACAGGAACCAGCTTAAGGGTCACCATTGACAAACTCTTGGACAATTTGTACATCAAAATAAAAGACAGCAACAGAACAACAGATCATAGCCTAATGAATGAAACAGAACCCTGTGACTCTGTATGATCAAAGCGGGGAATCAATAATGGAAAGGAAAATGCCAAACCAATGATGTGGGCTGATGAAACTGGTAGGGGAGGGCGATGGAGGGCAGAATCAGAGTTTCAATCAACAAAGTTCAATTTAGGCAAAAATGATCAGTGAATGATAAATATAGGCAAGAGGGAGATCTGCATACACAGGGTCTCCCTGTCTCCCTAAACACACACACACTCACTCACTCTCTCTCTCTCTCTCTCTCTGTGTGTGTGTGTGTGTGTGTGTGTGTATACACACTCCTATGAATGTGTTTCTATGAGCTAGCCCAGGCTGCCTGCAAACTCAGTGCTGAAGATGACTTTGGAGTCCCAATCCGTGTATCCACCTCTCAAGTGCAAGGATTAGTCTGAACTAGGTTTATCTAGTCTCCTAGGGGTTTTTTTTGTTTGTTTGCTTGTTGTATGAATTTCAAGGGTAATTAGGAGTAACGATAGCAGGAAAGTTGGATGCCTTCACAACAGTGAGTCAGCAGAGAACAGCCAGTCATTACGTACCTCTGGCCATGATTCCCTGAGAAGACATGACTACCCATATAAGAATTCCAGGGGATTCAGCTCCGAGCACCCTCATTGGCTCACAATCACCTGAAACTCCAGGTCCACAAGATATGACAACTCAGTCCATGGGCACTGTAACTATGTGTACATATCCACACATGCATGCATATATGAAATTACCCCAAAGTACTCAAAAAAACTAATTTCTATAATCCTCAAATGTGTCAATGTCAAATAAACACAAAGGAAGGCTGAGGAAGAATTATTGGGTCAAGTGACAAAATTGGAGGCTGGACTATATACTTTAGTAGTTTATCAACGTTATGTGTTCTTTTTCTCCCTCTTTCCCATCACCTAAAAAAACTTCATCCATCTATTTCTTTTGCTTGTGTATGTGTGTGCATGTGCCAGGGTGCACATGTGGCAGTCAGAAGATGTAAGACAATAACTTTTGCGACCTGGTTCTGTCCTTCCACTATATAGGTCTGGTAAATAAATTTAAGACATGAGGCAAGGGCTTTAACCTGTTGAGCTACCTGACCAGATGCCATCACCACCCCCACCCTAGTTTTTTTATGTGAGTACACCGTTGTTCTCTTCAGACACACCAGAAGAGGACATCAGATTCCATTACGGATGGTTGTGAGCCACCATGTGGTTGCTGGGAATTGAAGTCAGGACCTCTGGAAAAGCAGTCAGTGCTCTTAACTACCAGTTCGCTTTTTTTTTGAGACAAGGTTTTACTGTTAGCCCAGGCTAGCCTTGAACAGAGAGATCCACCTACCTCTGCCTCCCCAGTACTGGAATTAAAGGTATGTGCCACCACCAGCCACTTCCTCTCTCACCCATTTTGAAACAGGATTTTAATACATAGCCCTGGTTGGCTGGAACTTACAACGTAGACAAGGCTGGCCTCGAACTCATGGAGATGCATCTGCCTCTGACTCCTAAGGGCCAGGATAATAGGCATGTGCTACCATGCCCAACTTTATTTTTTTTTCTTTTTTAACATTTTTAAAACATTTATTTTATTATGTTATAAATTGTTCTACCTGCATATATGCCTATACACCAGAAGAGGGCGCCAGATCCCATGGTGAGCCACCATAGTTGCTAGGAATTGAACTCAGGTCTTCTGAAAGAGGAGTCAGTACTCTCTCAAAAGCCACCTCTCCAGACTAGCCCCCTCACTCCTCCACCCCATCTCCACTTTTTATTTCATGTGTATGGGTGTTTTATACATACATATATATCTGTGTACCATGTGTCTGCCTGGTACCCACAATGGTCAGAAGAGAGGGTTGAATCCCTTGAAACTAGAGTTAGAGAGAGGTGAGCTGTCATGTGGGTGCTGGGAATCCAACTTCTCTGGAAGAGCAGCCATATCATCCGCTAAGCCATCTCCCTAGCTCTCACTGTTTCTTTTGAGATAGAATTTCAGTCTATAGTGCAGAATGGTATAAAACTTTGTAGCCCAGGCTGGCCTTGAACTCCCTATAATTCTCTTGGCTTCAATGTTCAATTTCTTGGTTATGAAAAAGAATGCCCTTGTTTTGTAGAGATATTGCTTAACTATTAGGACATCAAAAAGCATGACATACACAATCGAAAAATATGTGTGTGTGTATCTTTCTAGACAAGGGATATTTATAAGTTTTCTATATAATTCTTACAACGTCACTGTTAAGTATATATAATTTATTTCCTTATGTGCATTTAGTGTTCAGCCTACATGTATGTCTAGTGAGGGAGTCGGATCCACTCACAGTTGTGAGCTGCTGTGTGGGTACATGGAATTGAACCCTAGGTCCTCTGGAAGAGCAACCAATGCTCTTAACCAATGAGCCATCTCTCCAGCTCCCACTGTTAAGTACAAAATTAACTAAAAATAAAAAAAAGTTTATGGTGGTCAGGTATGCCTTTAATGTCAGCATTCAGAAGACAGAAGGAGGCAGATCTCTATGAATTTGAGTCTAGCCAGGGCTACGGTGATTCCCCCCCACCCCCCCAAGAAACAAAGTTGGGCAGACCTGGGAGGAAAGGGGCCGGGGAGAATTGAGTATGATCAAAATACATGTTTTTTTTTTTTTTTTTAAATTGTATACATTTGACTGTCCTACAACTTGCTCTGTATCCTGGGCTGGCCTCAAACTCAGAGGTCTACCTGCCTCTGCTTTCTGAGTGCTGGAATCAAAGGTGTGCACCGCTGTTGCCCAGCAGGTCAAAATAAAAATAAAATAAAGTCCAAGATTGATAAAGATTGCTTAGCAGACAAAGGCACTTATCACCAGGCCTGACTTCCCAGAGTTTGATCCCCAGAACCCACATGGTGGAACAAGAAGTTGTTCTCTGACCTCCACATGCATACTGTGGCATGTGTACACACCTATACACACATACACAAATAATAAACAATGTTTAAAAAGGATGTTGGCTGCCAAGTTGGATGACCGGAATTCAATCTCTGGAACTCACATGGCAGCAAAACCAACTCTATAAGTTGCTATGACTCTCTGACACACTCTCTGTCTCTTTCTCACACACACACACCACACACACACACACACCACACACACTAAATAAACGAAGGGGGAAAAAGTCAGATGATGGAGATGATGGAAATATTGAAACTAAGTCACTGTTTTTATTTTTTGTATAGGTTATACCTAAAACAAAAAAAGGAAGCCAATTGAAGTATTTGTACTAATAGAAAGAAAAACAAATCAAGGCTATAAAAAAGCTTTAAGGACCAAACAAACAAAAGATGAGAGCTAAAGTCACACTGCTGTGTTCAAGGGGAAGTGTGTCCATACATATACCAACAAGAACTTAAGCTCTTTAATAGACAGTGGCAAAGGTGAACAAACTTACCGCCAATGTTTCTCAACTCTTCTGCTAAGGGCAATTTTTTCTCCTACTTCTGTGCACACAGGATTGGTCAAAACAATCTTGCCCAAATCAGCCTTGACAGCACTAACTCTTCCCCCTGTTGACAGGGATCCTATGTTGACCATAAGCACTTCATTCTTAGACAGCTTTTGGACCTAGGAGAATAAAGTGGAAAAAGAGGAACAACACATAAGAAAGTGTTTTCTGAAGAGTGTGGTGGCACACAGTTTTAGCCAGGTACTCAGGAGGCAGAGGCAGACTGATCTCTGTGAGTTTGAGACCAGCCTGATTAACATAGTAAGTTCTAGGACAGCCAGGGTTATATTGAGAGACTCTGCCTCAAAAAGCCAAACAAATAGTTTCTGTTTTGGTGGGGATTTAAAAAACAACAAAAACCAAACACCTAAAATGGATTGCCATAGGTGTTGATTCTCTCCCCTCACCATAGAGGGTTTTTCTGTGTAGTCCTGGCAGTCTTTGAACTCAAGAGATCTGCCCCTTCCTCCCCAATGCTGGGATTAAAGGCGTGTACTGCCACTTCTGGCTCTTCTTAATTTTTACTTTTTATTTTGTTTTTCGAGACAGGGTTTCTCTGTGTAGCCCTGGCTGTCCTGGAACTCACTCTGTAGACCAGGCTGGCCTCGAACTCAGAAATCTGCCTGCCTCTGCCTCTCAAGTGCTGAGATTAAAGGTGTGCGCCACCACTGCCCAGCTAATTTTTTATTTTTAATTTTAAAATTTATCTATATTTCATGTGTGAGTGTTCTGCATGTATACCTGTATGTCAGAAGAGGACATCAGATCACATTACAGATGGTCGTGAGCCACCATGTGGTTGCTGGGAATTGAACTCAGGACCTCAGTCAGTGCTCTTAACCTCCAGTCATCTCTCCAGCCCTGTTCTTGATTTGTTTTTTTAAAGGAAGTCGTACTTACACATTTACATTATAAAAGAGCAAAACTGAGTCTAGTACTGCTGCTGGTCCCTTTCTGAAACATGAGTTATACAAAGCACATACCTTTGCTGCTTTCTTGTCTCCTTCAGTACGTACACCCAGAAGACGTCTAAGCAGGAAATAGGAAATTTCCAGTTCTGTGAATATTTCAGGTAAAGCTCCAACTGCACCAAGCACTTGTCCCACCATTCTGTCAGCTCTGCACAAAGTGGGATCGATCTTTGTTCCAACTCCTAATATAAAGTAAAATGCATATAGCCTTATTATGTAAAACACTCTTGGAATGATTTACACCAAAGTCTAGTTAAGAACTGACACCCTTTCACAGATACCTCCATTTTCATACATATATGTTAAGCATGACAAAATACTTGTTCTATTTTAACTTCTTTTTGGTTTTTTAAGACATAGTTCCTCTGTAGAGTAGGCTAACCTCACAGTCAGAGATCCGCCTGCCTCTGCCTCCTGAATGCGGGGATTAAAGGCGAACGCCACCACTGTCCAGCATTCTTTTTCAGACCGGCTCCTAACATGTGAGGCTGGCCGCCAACTTAGAGAGCTATCCGAGTTTGCCTGGGATTTAAAGGCCATCACATCTTTCACTTAAATTTAAATTTTCAGTGAAAATAAGAACAAGCCTTTTTAAAAGGAACTTACTCTCCCTTAATTTTTTAAGGTCCCACCCCTTGTTGCCGTCCCCCCTCCCATGTTTGGATGCATCCAAGCACTATGTGCATGTAGTACCCACAGAAACCAGAAGAGGGCAACAGACACCATGCAAAGAGTTACAGACTTATGAGCTGTTTAAAGTACTAGAAACTGGGTCCTCTGGAAGAGCTTTTAAACATGGAGCCATCTCTTTAGGCCTGTAGTTTTTATATTTAAGCTATGTGTATATGTATATATCTGTGTGTGGACCTCTGTAGGTTAAGTGTGGCACCAGAAGAGCTCTTGAGGAGCTTGCCAGGTGGTTGAGAAATGCTCATAAATTCAGGCCTCTACAAAAGCAGTGACATTTCTAACCACTGAGACACATCTCTGGTCATTATAGTAAATTTTTAATTACATGACAGAAAAGAAAAATGAATTGTACACATTTTCTTTAGTCCAAAGGTACATTTTGAATCTTGCCTTTTTCTCAGCAATGGCAAAGTAATTTTAAGAAACTAAAAAAACCCTTAAGTCATTTTAGTAATTCCCACCTGGTAGAAGTGGAGTGAGTTCAAAGACAGCCTGGGTAACCTTGTGAGATCCTTTCTCAAAAGGAAAGAGTGAGGCTGGAGAGACTGCTCAGTGATTAAGAGCACTGGCTACTTTTCCAGAGGATTCAGGTTCAATTTCCAGCACCCACAGGACAGCTCGCAATTGTCTGTAACTTTAGTCTCGGGGTTCAATGCCTTCTTCTGATCTTTGTGGGCGCGCGCGCGCACACACACACACGTGCACACACACAACACACACGCACTCTACTCACATACATAAAAATAAATAGTAATCTAATTTAAAAAAAAAAAAAAAAAAGACAAAGGAGGCTAAGGCTATATATTAGTGGTAAAGTACCTGCTTGGCATGTTCTAGACTTTAGGTCCAAACACCTGTACTTCAAAACAATAGCCAGAAATAATTATTGCTAATAAGTATCTTCTACCAAAATACACTTTAAAAATACTGTTCATTATTAATGTGGATGCTTGTTTGAGTGAGCAAGCACCTTTACCTGAGTCATACTGCCAGCTCCAAATGTGTTCTGTTTAATATTTCAAGATGTACCAACAAGGCCAAGTGTGGTGGTATACACCAGTAAGTCTACCACTTGGTAAGCTGATCCAAGAGGGTTGCCTTGAGTACCAACCTAGCCAAAATTACACGGCAAGAGTCTATGTCAAAAATTAAAATGGCCTGAAGAGATGGCTCAGGGGTTAAGAGCACTGACTGTTCTTCCAGCAACCATATGGTGGCTCATAACCATCTGTAATGGGATCTGATGTTCTCTTCGGGTGTGTCTGAAGACAGCTACAGTGTTTATTTATATACATAAAATAAGTAAATACTTCTTTAAAAAATTAAAACAGAATGTGGTAGGACATACCTTTCATATCAGCACTTGGGAGGAAGAGGAAGGTAGATCTTTGTGAGTCTGAGGCCAACCAAGACTATGGAGAGAGACTGTCTCAAAACAAACAAACAAACACGATCCCACACACACAACGAAAACAACCAAAGGGAGGTAGAGAGATGTCTCAGTAATTAAGAGCACTTGCTGCTCTTGCAGAGAAGCTTGGGTTTGGCTCCTAGAACTCACAAGGCAACATACCACCTTTGAAACTCTAGTTTCAGGCTGGTCTGATGCCCTCTTTGGCATTCCTGGGCATTGGTACACATGCTGTACATACAGACATATGCAAATAAACTCATACACATAAAAATAAAGAAGTTTGTAAAAACAAAACAAACCTTACAATCTATCTTTCCTATGAAATGTACCACAGATCTCTATAAACTAAAAGAGAGTAAAGTCCTTACCAATGAGACCACCTGGGGCAGCATACTGAAGATCATTATGTTCGGCAAAAAGTGACACAATTTTGGAAAAGATTGGTTTACACATGAGTTTTCCTTCACTGTCTTTGGAGACAATACCAGGTCTGACTTCTATCTCCTGGCCTACCTGTAAACACATAATTGGTAAGAATTATAGAACCATACATTTATTATTTGCCTACCAATGTTATAACAGGGAAACTAAACTGTAACCAAACTAAAAAGACAATCTTTTCTCTAATTTCCAGATTAGTACTTTTATTTACTTATTATTTTCATGGTCTGTAACTTACTAGGTAGAAGAGGCTGGCCTTGAATTCAGATACAGCCTGTTTCTGCCTCCCAGCCGTGCACTACCATGCCAGCTTAAAATTACTTTAAAAACAAATAAGTAAACAAACAAAAAGCCACACACACACACACACACACATATATATATGGTTTTCGAGACAGGTATCCTAGAAGGCACTCTGCAGAACAGGCTGGCCTTGAACTCAGAGATCAGCCTGCTTCTTCCTCTGAATTTAAAGGTATGCACTACTATGCTCAGCTATTTTTTTTTTTTTTTAAAGGAAAAACCTGGCATGGAGGAGATGGATGTCTTTCCAGTTAAAGAGCACTTGCTGCTTTCGCAGAAGACCAGAGTTCAGTTCTCAGCACCCACATGGCAGCTCACAACCACGTCTAAGTTCCAGGGCATTCAATAACCCTCTTCTGGCCTCCTTAGAAAGATGGAGACAAGCATCCATATCTATGAAATAAACAAATCTAAAAGAAAAATTTAAAATCAGTCCCACTCAAGTGTTGTAAATTATAAATAAACCCGTTGTCACATAAAATGTCCCATATTCATTAGAAAACTATAGAGATCAGACATCTTCCAAAGACAAAACTAAAACCATAATCAATACCAGACACCACAAAAAAGCCATTTTTCACTGGGCATAGTGGTGCACGCCTTTAGTCCCAGCACTTGGAAGGCAGAGGCAAGGGGATCTCTGAGTTTGAGTTCAGCCTGTTTAAGATTAGGGTGGTCTGATGAGCTGGCCCAGAGGATAAAGGTGCTTATCTTACCATCAAGCCTGATAACCTGAGTTCAATCCCAAAGACATATTGGAGTCAAGCCCTGAAAATTTGTCTTACCTATGCACTGGAGCACTTATATGCATAAACACACAATAAAACAAATATACAGAGTAACAAGTCAAATTCGATTTACCTTCAATACTCCTTTTAGAATACTACCACCAGCTACACCCCCCTTAAGGTCATCGACTTCACAGCCAGGTTTGTTGACATCAAATGACCTGATAACTAAAAGAAAAATTTAAAACAAATTAAAGCCATTTCTATGTATTTTAATTTTAGCTTTAGAAGACACATTCTTTTCCATATCAACTTTTCTAAAAACAATCTAATGATAATGCTTTAATGTCTGCTGAAGTATTACCTGTAATAGGAAAAAAAACCAAAGAAATAGCTTGACAGTTCATTAAGATGGTTTATTTTAGTATGTCAATACTATAAAGGTGTCTCTACCATGGAATATCATACATCTGTTTGAAACTAATGTTAAAATTACATGTAACAATCTGGGATGGGTTTCATATACTGTTAAGAAAAAAATAGTAGCTGGGTGGGAGGAAGAGAAGAAGGCAGCAAAGACAATCACCATGACCCTGGAGAGACAGAAGGAACAGATTTACATCTGTGCGGAGGGGTGGGGTGTGGTATCATCTGAAATGTAGGAGTAAAGGGAAAGTGGCCCCCCGAAGGGATGCCCAGAAGTATGTTGGGCAGCAAAGACCAATGGGCTTCACAGAATGGTAACAGGGCAGCAAAGTTCAAAATAGATTTAGAAGGTGTTGAGTCAGCAGTACCAGAAGGAAGAACATGCCAGCCTTGTGAAAGCTAGTAAGGCATGTTAAAATAAGCTTGTGTGTGTGTGTGTGTGTGTGTGTGTGTGTGTGTGTGTGTGTCTTTCACTCGCAGGTCCAAAGATACATAGATAGTTCCTGGGTGGGCAGAAAAACTCACTGCTACAGATACATGGCTTGCCCTTCACATCTAAGGGTTCTGTCCAGCCAAGGAGAAAACAACTTATGTAACGAGCACAAAAGTCTTCTCCCACCCCCCTTTTTGGTGAGAGCCATTATCCCCTATGCATCCTCATTATTTACATAGCATTTACAATAAATTAGCTATTATTACTTAAGGCACACAGGAGGGGACTGGATGTACATCAGTGGCACTGCCCCGCCTGGCAGTCATCAATGAAGTATACAGGAGACTGTACTTGGGTACATGCAGTACACCATTTTATTCACCTTTTTTTTTGGAGAGAGAGGTTCTCACTATGTAGCCTTGACTGACTTGAACTTACCCTGTAGACGAGGCTAGCCTTGAATTCACAGAGATCCACTTGTCTCTGCCTCCCAAGTGCTTGGGATTACAGGTGTTTGCTACCATGCTTGGTATTTTATATATAGAATTTTTGCATTTTATGGTTTCTACAGTACAAATTTACTTTTAAAATAAAACAATTCTAAGACTATATTACTTATTCTTGTATCACCTAAGAGAACATTTCCCAACAATCACACAAACAGCTCTAAATGAAGACCTGGAAAGGCCTTTGAAAAGGCTCCTACATCTTTGAGCAGCAACCACAGCTCAGTGAAATCAAGCCTATTAGTTTTTCAGCAATGGGACAATGACATCATTTGTATTGAAACTATAACATCTCACAGTGTGTAATTCCCTAAAAAATATTGTGTTACTCCATGTTGGTCGCCTAAAATACCATATACTCAGCACAAAGGGTTTCTTTTGTACTCAGGGCTCTGTCAACCAGCAGTATAATCTCAAGACATTATTTCAAATAGGTTTTATGGATTTATCACCACCTCTGCAGAAAGAAAAAATACTAATAAAAAACACAGAAGAGTCCAGTTAAATGTGACTCCTGTTACTCACCAATGAGACGAGGCTCTGAAGTGAAGTCTCTTGGGGGCACTGGTATTTTCTTCACTATGTACTCACAGACGACTTCAATATTGTACTTCAGCTGAGCAGAAATTGGAATAATTGGCGCCCCTTCTGCTACTGTTCCTACACACCAAAAAGATCAAAATCCTTGAGTTTTACAAAACTTGGTCTAAACAGCTGTTAGATAAAGTAATTAGAGCTAATAGAGGCCTAAACATTTCCTCACAAATGCCAGTCAACAAGTAGAAAGTGGTCTATAAAGAAAGATTACATTACTCTATCTTAACTTCCAAAATAAATTATTTTTCCTATAAGGGGAAAACTGCTAAAATTACTTCAATGGGACTATTTAACAAAGGCAAAATGCTGTGTGTTTAAAGGAATAAAACATGAACACTCCTGGGAAAGAGCACTTTACCAGCTAAAAGATTTCTAACATGTAATTAACCTTCCCATAAATTTCAAGAGAAAATTACAGACTCTGATAATCAAAGACTGGCTGACATATATATTTTTTTCATCAAGCCAATTGGTCAAAGAAACAGCTCAAAAATAAATAGATTTTAATGAAAGTGGATTATTCTTTTTCATATTAGAACTGGGTTCCAACAAGAAAAGGCTAAAAAAATAATCAAATGTCAACAGTAACATGCATCATGTCCTCTTTGAAAGTGGAACTCGCAATGCTACTACAGAAAGGAACTCTGTGAAGATCATTCTTTTGTTCTTTTGAGACAGGGTCTCTTTATATAGTCCTTGCTGGCCTGGAACTAGCTATACACACCAAAAAGCTGGCCTTGAAGTCAGAGGTCTGCCTTCCCATGCCTGTATGATGCTGGGATTAAAGGTATGTGCCACGAGGCCCAGTAGAAAGATTGCTTTTAAATTTTTTTATTCATTTTACTAAGAATTTTTTTCCTGGGAGGCAGTGATGTGAACTTCCCTGTATATCCCAGGCAAGCACTCTACCATTAACATATACACTAAGCCCTTGGGTTTTAAAACATTTAATCTGATAGCATTTCCAAAATATACCTTCAGCTTTAACTTTGTACATTAAATTCAGAAATACTAGTTACAGTCTTAACAGGACCCCAGCAAGTAATGAGTAGAAAAAGCAGCACTTATGATACCTACATTTACTTTGTTTTAGATGAGGTACATTATCTCTCAAAGTGATGCTTTGATCCATTAGCTATTATAGCTTCTTACCTTGCACAAATGCGAGAATTTGCTCATATTGCTCCTTAGCCTGACTTTCTTTTACCAGATCAATTTTATTCTGTAAGATCAAAATATGCTTGAGTTTCATGATTTCTATGGCAGCCAGGTGTTCGGAAGTCTGGGGCTGAGGGCATGATTCATTACCAGCTAGTTGACAAAGAATAAAAAACATGCATAAGAATGACTAGAAATATCCAGACCATTCAATTTTAAAACCAGAAGGCAGACTGTTAGTTGTGAGGGGCTGGACAGAGTGTAATTGGGTAGTGACTACTTAACAGTCAGGGTGTTCACTTTTGTGGTGATGAAATTTAAATGTACTATCTCACGGAGTTCTACCCTTTATGTGATAAAATGGTAAGTTATACTTATGCACATATTCTACGGTCAACTCTGCTTTACCTCGTATCTTCATTCACTGTAGCTTCACAGTCCTCCTAAGCAAGAAGCTTCTGATGAACAAGAGTGTCTTCAAGAGCTTTTAGGACTATAGCTCAATCTAGTCTATGAATGCTCTGTTGCAGCCAAGCTCTTTTGAGGAGGCTTAACCTCAAGGCTACTCCTTAAAATGTGTGCCGTGAAGACAAGCAACAGTACACCACAATGGGCAAATTTTGCTCAGCATGCTAACAACTACCCTCCTCAGTCTGTTCATGTGTCCTGTACAATATCCTCTTGTATACCTAAAAATACATTTATACCTCTCAAATCTCTTAACAGCACACATAAGGAAACACAGCATTAACTCTGAAAACTCGCATGTTTACTAGACCATGGCAATTACTATAAATAAATCATACATATGCTTTAACATAAATTCTAAATGGAAATAAGATGTGAAACCACACCATATTCCTTTTAGGATACTATAAGACTTCTCAGAATCCATAAAGTCCAGGACTCTTTTGCTTAGTATTTTGTTTGTGGTATGTTAGGAGGAAATGGCATCCTGCATGTACTATTTCTAGTTATGCCTCTCTTAGCTAATGGACATGGCCTCCCAAGGTTTTAGTTCTTCCTGAAATAGTCCACTCAAGATTCATTCTCCATTCTGATGATTTTACCTATCAACAGAAGAGCTGCGTCCATCACTGCTGCACCGTTCAGCATCGTAGCCATCAAAATATCATGGCCAGGACAGTCAACAAAGGAAACATGCCTAACGATAGAGAGATAGCAATCAGTCTTAAGATCAATCAAAACCATTAGCAAACTACAGATTTCTTAACATCAAATCACATGGGAGCTAGTTCTCAATGTTATAAAATGGTTTTAAAACTTGGTGTTTAAAGACTTTGGGTCTGATTCTTCTGGCTTCTACAGGTACTGGTATATAGGTAAGTACAACCAGACAAACACACACATATAATTAAGAATAATAAATATGAAAAAAGAGAGTGAGGACTTTCATTTGAAAAAACACTTTGTCCAAATTACCACTACCCCTGAAAAACTAGAATTGTGTACCTAAAGTGAGAGGCAGCATGACTTTAAAATTATGGCACTCAGAGTCATGACTTTGTAAGAATTTGCTTTTTGGGACTTATTTTAATCTTTCAGAAGACAGAAGAGGGCATCAGATCCCCTGGAGCTGGAGTTACCAGCAGTTACGTCTGTCAAAAAACTGAACTCCAGTTCTCTGAATAAGAATAAATGTTCTTGGCTACAGAGCCAACTCTCCAGCCCTAGAGTCACAATTTTAAAAAGAACAAAAATGTATACTCACACTGCCATGATCTAAAACCGAGATCAAGGATCAGAAAACTATGGGCCTCAGATTTGGCCCACCACAGACTCATACATGAAGATACAATTTATGTGTGCTTTTGTAATAGAAGAGCAGAGATAAGTACTTACAACAGAGACTGTAAGGCCCACAAAGCAGAAAACATTTTGCACGTTACAAAAGAAGAATCTTTGACCAGAAGTGTCTCTGACTACTGCTAGGACCAGAGTGAGATAAGAGAGATACCTCAGGTGCACATTTTAAGGGGATGCCTAAACAGTAAAAACAGACCCTAGGGGGAAAAAAAAAGCTGGGCGGTGGTGGCGAACGCCTTTAATCCCAGCAGGCGGATTTCTGAGTTTGAGGCCAGCCTGGTCTACAGAGTGAGTTCCAGGACAGCCCAGGCTATAAAGAGAAACCCTGTCTCGAAAAACCAAAACCAAAACAAACCAAAACAACAAAAAAACAGACCTTGGAATATAAATCAGTGGTAAAGCATTTGCCGGCTAACATAGTGGGCCTTTGATGCAAGCCTGGTGCTAAAGAGAAAAGTTAAATTCAATACTTGGATAAAGAAAACCAGACCTCATAATGCCAAAATCTGTAATGATAAAAAACGTTTTAAATAGAAAAAAGATTATTAACAATAGCTTGCCCAAAAGGCATAGTGGTGAATATCTTTAATCTCAGCACTCAGTAGGCAGAGGCAAACAGATTTCCGAGTTCTAGGACAGCCTGGTCTACAGAGAAGTTCCAGGACAGCCAGGCCTATACAGAGTAAACCCTGTCTATAAAAACCAAACCACACCAAACAAACAAATTTAGGTGGTCTTTGTTACTGTGTCTGCTCTTTCTTCTATCCATTTCACCCCAACACTAGATGAGAGAAAAAAGATAGAAGGGAGAGAGAAAAGATCATTGGATAAAAGTCAGGGGTCAGAAAGAGGGTGATGTTATTGTTAAGACTATTTCCTGCTTATTTGGGGGTGTCCAGTTCCTTGGGGTAAGTTTGTTCTGCGACATTGGGATACCTAATGTCTTCTTGTTATTTCTTGTGTATGGAACTGTGACCAACAACAAACAATCGTAGCCTCTCAGGGCACAGCATTCATATACCCTCTGAAGAGTTGCCAGGATTTCAAACGTCAACTGCAGAAACTATCTGTGCCTGGTAAAATCAAGCCTATGGTAGAGCAGGGAGCAAATCAGTCACCTGCTGTGGACAATCTGAAGAAGCCCCATATCCTATACCTGGGACTAAAATGAAAACATATTCTTATAATATTTCTATGTTTGTTTGTTTTTTTTTTTTAAAAACCAAAACTCTAAAATTGTCACTACAAACAAGCATAACAAGTCACACAGAAGCCAAGAAAATATCAGAAACATGGTTGGCCTTTAAAGTTCTGATACTGGTAACTTTTTTGAAAGACTATCCCCACACCCTGGAGTGTTTGTTTTTCTGAGCACTTCCTCTTCAACTAAGTGTTTAACATGCATACTAAAATACCTTCAATAAAACCCCAACCCAACTTTGTAGGGGAAAACAGTGAGCCAGGTATGGTGGTATAAGCCTTTAATCACAGCACTGGGAAGGAGACAAAGGCAGGTGGGTCTCTCTGAGTTCCAGGCTAGCCAGGGCTACATACCGAGATCCTACCTAAATAAAACAGAATTCTACTATCCTATTCATTACAATTTTCTGAATTAATTTTAAAAATTGCACTAAAGTGGGGCTGGAGAGATGGCTCAGCGGTTAAGAGCATTGGCTGTTCTTCTACAGGACCTGGGTTTAATTCCTGGCACCCACGTGGCAGCTCACAACTGTCTGTAACTCCAGTTAGGGATCCAGCACCCTTATACAAACATACATGCAGGCAAAACAGCACTGCTCATAAAAATTGAATGAATTTAAAAAATAATTGTATTAAAGTATCTTGATTATTGAGATTTATTGGCTTCCCCTTCTTCCCTAAATTATGGGCCTGAGATGAATATCTCACTCTGTCCTCGATCTAAAATGGTCTTATGAGTTTACAATCGCAAAGATGTTAGTAACTAAGTATCAGCACCCTCTGGTAAAGAACCAACATGTGAAATCATATTCAGAAAATTATTTAGAAACAAGCCCATTTGTTTTAAAGAAGCAATTTTAAAAATAGATTTATCAGCCAGGTAGTTGTGACATATGCCTTTAATCCTGGCACTTGGGAGGCTTTCGAAATCCAAGGCTAACCTGGTCTATAGTGTAAGTAAGTTCCAGAACAGGCAGAGCTACACAGAGAAACCCTGTCTTGAAAAAAAAATCACAAAAGGAACAAAAGAGGGGAGGGAGGAGGCTTTATTCTTATCTAACAAACAGGAATGGCACTGTTAAATACAATGAGTTGCATTTTCTCTCCCTTCCTTTCTTGCTCATGCAATGCTTGCATTTAAAAAAAAAGGTTTGTAAAAGATTTATTTTTATTTTCTCAAATAAGTGTTTCATATCTAGTGCCCCCAAAGGTAGATCTCCTGGAACAGGAGTTACAAATAGCTGTGAGCCACCAAGTGGATACTGGGAATCAAATCTGGGCTTTGCAATTTTTCGGTTTGTAGAACTTTTAAAATTAATTTAAAAATACCTTACCTTTCAATTATTATCATTATATAAAATAAAAACATGAAATAACAGAAAATTGATGAAACCATTCATCAACTGAATTTGGCGTTCAGTTTCTTTTTGGTTTTTGAGACAGGGTTTCTGTGTAGCCCTGGCTGTCCTGGAACTCACTCTGTAGACCAGGCTAGCCTCAAACTCAGAAATCTGCCTGCCTGTGCCTCCCAAGTGCTGGGATTAAAGGCGTGAGCCACCACTGCCCGGCAAGTGTTTAGTATTTTAAGTACTTCAAAAAGCACAAAGCACAAAACAGTGGTTTAAGCATAAAAGTTACCTGACTAATTTGAAGTTCCCTTTGGTCCCTGGAATGTCTGTAGGAAACTCGTCTGGTGTACTACTCCCACATGATCTATAACATTCTGGTCTGGGACAACTTGGGTCATCAAGTTTATAAATCTATAAGAAAAAAAGAAACAACTAGATTTGATTTGTTACTTATGCAAAAATTAAAGTTAAATGGTTTGTTTCATTGTACATGGATCACCTTAGCATTAGCATATCCAAGCTTTATGGTAATGTTTCTTTCTAGCTCATTTTTGAATCTGACAGTGTGAACTCCAGAAATAGCCTTCACCACAGTTGACTTCCCATGAGCTACATGACCAATTGTACCTATTAACAAAAGACAACAAAATTAACTCATGCATTCAAGTACACCAAATATGTTTTCAAAGAGTGTTGAGTCAAAAAACTTAAAACTCTTAACCATAAACATCAATGTAAATCCCACAGTGATAGGGCTAACAACATGCTCTGCAGCTGTCTTTGGCTACTTTGTGGATTCTTCTCTCTCCTTTCTCCACCCTTCTAACCACCTCCGAGTAGATCACAGAATAAAACTGGGGTTGGAAAAGGGTCATTATTGTTAGACTACTTCCTGCTAATTAAGGGCATCGAGGTCCAAGTTCCTTGGGGCAAGTTTGATCTTGTCAGATATCCAATTTCTTCTTTGTACCCAACTACTAACCCAGACTCTCAGGGCCCTATCATTTATATACCCCCCTAAAAAGTCCCCAGGATTTCAAATGTCACACATAGAAACTATCTGCCGCTAGCAAAAGTCACACCTCTGCTAAAGCTTCTGTGGATGATCTGAAGCAGCCTCCATATCCCACACCTGGGATTAAAATGAAAAACACATTCTTAAAATATTTCTGTGATTTTTTTAAAAAAAGAAAATAAATCTCTAAACTGTCATTAAAATGGCTCAACAGGTAAAAGCACTTGTCACAAATACCGTTGGACCAGATTTCAATACCCAGAACCTATAGTAAAGGGGGAGAACTAATTCTGGAAAGTTGTCCTGATTTCCACACATTATAAATCTTCTCAGACCAGTTTTAGCAGAGTATATACTTGGGAAGTTGGGAAGAAGAAGCAGGATTTGAGGCCAGCCTGGACAATGTAGGGAGATATCATAAAACTTAAGATATTTTTAAATGTTCACTTGAAATGTTGTTACCCTGATTGAAAAATTATTTAGATTCATTTTATATACTCTTCTACTATTTCAAAAAAAAGAAAACCCCAAAACCCTAAAATCACCCCCTTAAACAAAACAAAACCACCAAAGATTCAATCACACACCCAGTTAATATGACAAACTCTGATACAACACAAAAAGGAACACACTCATAATCCTAGTATTCAGAAGTCTGTCTGAGTCAAGAGGATTGCCTTGAGTTAAAAGTCAGCCCAGACTACATAGTGAATGCCAAGCTAGGCAGTCTACATAGAATAGCTAGCCAGAATACATAGCAAGCCTGTCTCACCTCCTCTCCAAACCCAACAACAAAACCCCAGCCATACTATATTTTATACTCAAGCAATATACCTCAACAGTTCTAGGTGCCAATTAAGGAGGAAAGAATTTGACTTAATTATAGTTTATATATCAAATAAAGCCTTCTATAAACTGCCCTACATGGCAAGAAAATGCATTTTCACCTCCTAATTCACTACTGTATGATTACATACTGCCTTGTACTATTAAACTTTTCTTTCATACATATATCTAAAAAAAAAATAGTAATATTTTGTTCACAAGTGCTCCACACATTCATTTACACACTGACCTGCCCTGGATAATTTCCAAATAAATGTCTACATTATTCAATGAATTATACAAAAAGGGGAGGTTAAAATTACTTGTAAGTCAGTCTTCAAACTATCTTACCAATATTAATTGTAGCTTGTCTGCTGATAACTTCGTGTGAAAGTGGTGTCAACTTGGTAACATCCTGCAATTAAATATACTGTGAAATATAATCAATACAAGCCACAAGTTTTCCCTTGACTTTATATTCCTCAGGTACAACTTTTATGCCTCATATAAACAGCTCTCTTCTCCTGCTAATGTGTCTTTTCCCCTTAACATGCTGTTAAGACTGGGAAGATTATAAGTCTGCCATTGTCACACAAGACAAGTCCACTCACTAAGAGAGGTCTGGAGACGAAAGGCCACCTAATCCTGGAGTCATAGCAAGTCCTCAAATGTCCAACACAGAGAACAGTGTAGTCTGGTTTCCAATCCTTTACAGACTTAAACCTTAATGACTTTTTAACAATCTCGTTAGTCTCATACTGGCCCCCAACTAGATTTCGTAGCCAAGAATGTCCTTTATCTTCTAATCTTCCTATTTTCATCTCCTAAGTGCTAAGATTACAGGCATGTGCCTCTCCGGATGGAACTCAAAACTGCGTGGATGCTAAACATACACTCTACGCTATATTAATAATCCGGATGGAACTCACAACTGCGTGGATGCTAAACATACACTCTACGCTATATTAATAATCATCTACATATCTATTATGAAAGCTTAACTCCAGGAATTCCAAGTCTCACAATCGTTCACCAGTTTGAGGACTAGACAAGGTACTGGCGGTGGAGCTGGCATGCACACCTTGGACTCTAAGACTTTAGAGGCTCCAGCTCTAGGATATCTCCTTTACCCCATGCTCCAGCCACCCAGGGAACTGCCTCGTCTCCAGGCCCTTCGATAATCCACCCCCACCCCCCAAGCTCAGTGTGCCATTCCCGCCGCAAATCGAGACCTCACCAATGTGGCGAGATCCTGTCGGGAAAGATGTGGCTGCCCCAGAGTCACTCCAACCTCACCCCCAGCCATCTTGCTCAGAGAGAAAAGGAAAATGCTCGGCAGCCGCCTGACATAACGTAGGCCCCCTTGGGCGGGGCGAAGGAGAAGCGGCGGGAAGGTAGACTGCGGCACAGACCTGATAGAAAGAATGGCAAATGCAGCACTGACCTTACTGCTTGGAGTTCTCTCTGTTTTAATCTGTACAGAAACTCCGGGCGACCTTACTCGAAAACACGACACAAAGTTTCGGAATGTATCCGTTTTCAGTCCTGTTAGATTTTTGTGCAGGCATGACTTAGGGCAGCCTCAGGAAAGTCCCCTTGAGGGGAAGGTTATCAATGTGACACTGCGCGCAGGACAGAGAAACCATTTCCGTTTCCGTTTTTTTTTTTTTTTTTTTAAAATGTGCTGGCCGGAAGAACTTTCCAGAGTCTGGGCATCTTTACGTTTGGGTATAAATCAGAAAGTAGAAATGTCTCTTTTGTTTTATTCCATTAATTTATTTAATTGTTTTACCCATTTCTATAATCTAAAAGAGCGATATCAGCATGGGGTCCTCTTCCGCCTTACTGAAGCTCTGGACCGCACCGCGTGCTAAGCTGGCCATGCTCAAGCCGAGCGGTCCCCAGCGAGCTCGCACAGAGCGCCCTCCCTCGGAGATCTGGGGAAGGGCTCAAGGACTTACTGTCTGAAGAGGAAAGTTCGACAACCCCCGCCTTTACTCCCCCCACCCCCCGGCCCCCCAACCCCGTCGCTGGAAAAATTTCTAAGGCCAGTGAGCTGGTGTATGGTGACATTAGTCTGTATCCGCGTGAATGTAGCCTGGAAGCCGGGTGTCCACAGATTTTTTTTTTTTTCTGAAGCTGAACCTAGGAAACCCTCAATTAGGAAAAAAAAAAAAAAACATTAAATATTTAAATATCTCTGACATCTTATTTTCCTCTTGTGTTAAAAATAAGTGATGTTTTCTGTGAGTGCTGGCTCCCACGTCATCTCCGCACTCAGGAGGCAGAAGCACGAACTGACCAACCTGGGCTGTGTATAGAGACACTGTCTTCAAAACAAGCCCAAGAGGGCTGGGGAGATGGCTCAGCGGTTAGGAGCACTGACTTCTCTTCCAGAGGTCGTGAGTTCAATTCCCAGCAACCACATGGTGGCTGGCTCACAACCATCTCTAATGAGATCTGCTGCCCTCTTCTGGTGTGTCCGAGGACAGCTATGGTGTACTCATATACATAAAGTTTAAAAAAAACAAAAACAAAAACAAAGCTAAGAACATAGTAAGTAATGACAGGCTGGGTGGTGGTGGCGCATGCCTTTAATCCCAGCACTTGGGAGGCAGAGGCAGATGGATTTCTGAGTTCGAGGCCAGCCTGGTCTACACAGTGAGTTCCAGGACAGCCAGGACTACACAGAGAAACCCTGTCTCAAGGAAAAAAAAAAAAAAAAAAAAAGTAATGACAGGGGGCTGCTACAGTGTACTCATATACATAAAATTAAAAAAAAAGAAAACCAAGGGTAAGAACATAATTCTTAAGTAATGACAGGGGGCTGGAGAGATGAAAGAGCAATGATTAATTTTCCAGAGGTCCTGTGTTCAATTCCTAACCACATCTGTAATGGTATCGAGTGCCCTCTTCTGGTGCAAAGAAATCTTTTTTTTTTTTAAAGTAATGGCAGAAACCAAAATGTAATGTGAAGTTATTTTTATTTGACTTTACCTTTTGTTGTTGTTGTTTGAGACAGAGTCTCACTGTATAGGACTTGGTTGGCCTGAAATTCATGGAGATCCACCTAACTGACTCTCAAGTGCTGGGGTTAAAGGTGTGGGTCACCATAGCTCCCCTCTTTAACCTTATGCCTTTACCTTTTTTGATTTTATCTTATATTCAGTTTTTTTGTTTTATTTTGGATTCTAAATAGCTATAGCAGTCAATTAAAGTATTTTTCATCATCAGTTAAAAACAAGTGCTGCTTGGCCAGGCAGTGGTGGCATATACCTTTAATCCCAGCACTAGGGAGGAAGAGGCAGGCAGATCTCTGACTTCGAGGCCAACCTGGTCTACATTATGATAACCAGGACTACACACAGAAACCCTGTCTTCACCCCCCCCCCCCAAGTGTTTTGCTGTGTGTGCTGGGGCCCTCGTAATCTCAGCACTCAGGAGGCCCAGGCAGGAACTCAGAAAGGATACAGCTCAGTCAATAGAGCATTTGTGAGGCCTTGGGTTCAATTCTCAATACCAAAGAAAAAAAGAAGAAAAGGGAAAGTGGCAAGTCAGGCATGATAGTCAAAATCTGTAACTCCTGAATTTGATGAGGTGAAACAAGAGGATCACAAGTTCAAGGCCAGCCAGGGCTATGCATAGAGAAAATTGCATAGAAAAAAAATGAAGTCTCCAAAAAATTGATGAAGAAAATGGTATGGAGTTTTGTACAGTAATGATTGTTCTCTCTTTATGAATACACTAAAACCCAGGTAATTAGGAATTTTGACAGAATGAATCTCTAGATATGTGATTTGTAGGACAATAAACTTTTAAATTTCTGGGCAGTGGTGGCGCACGCCTTTAATCCCAGCACTTGGGAGGCAGAAGCAGGTGGATTTCTGAGTTCATGGCCAGCCTGGTCTACAGAGTGAGTTCCAGGACAGCCAGGACTACACAGAGAAACCCTGTCTCGGAAAACCTAAAAAAAAAAAAAAAAACTTTTAAATTTATTTATACCAAATAGGACAGAATGTGATTTGTCATTTTAGGCTTTTTGATAGTACAAATATTGCAGTAGGACTACAAAGATGACTGAGAAACATCACAGGGCAACCAGGCATGGTGGTACATGCCTTTAATTCCAGCACCTAGAACATGGAGACCGGAGGATCAGCAGTTCAAAGTCTTTCTTGGCTAAGTAGAATTTGAGGGCAGCCTGGACTACATGTGACCTGTCACAAAAAGTCCAAAAATTACCATTTAGTGAGAAAGCTCAGTTGATAGAATGCTTTCCTGCCAGGCATGAGGCCCTGGATTCAATTCTCATGTACTGAAAAATAAAACTTGTCAGCCATAGTGCCACTCACCTTTAATCCCAGCACTCAGGTAGGGGGAATCTCTTTGAGTTTCAGCTTAGTCTTGTCTAAATATAAAGTTCTAGACCCTGTCTCAAACAACAACAACAAGAACAACAGCAGCAGCAGCAACAACAACAACAACATTAAAACCCACAACACTTTTAGCAGTCAAGAGGCAGAGGCAGACAGGTCTCTGTGAATTCAGATTCAGCCTGATCTATAGAGTGAGTCCTAGGCCAGCCAGGGCTACACAGAGAGATCCTGTCTCCAAACACAACACAAAACAAACAACAGAGAATAATATTTATTACTAAAGACATTAAAAACCCTTACTGAAGGCTGAAGCAGGAGCATCACTCTGAAAATGAGATGTCCCCAACTAAACAGTCTTGTTTTATGTGTCTGTACCATGTGCAAATCTGAAACTAGAGTTACAATTGTGTGAGGCATCACAGGATTCTCTAAACCTGGGTCCTCCTTTAAGAGCAGTAAGTGCCTTAACCATGGAATTATCACTCCAGGACCTTGAGTGTGGCTTTAATTTACATCCTCTAATGACTGGTTGTGTGTGTGCCTGTGTGTGTGTGTGCCTGTGTGTGTGTGCCTGTGTGTGTGTATGTGTGTGTGTGCCTGTGTGTGTATCTATGTGTGTGTGTATATGTGTATGTGGTGCCTGTGTGTATGTGTGTGTGCCTGTGTGTATGTGTGTGTGCCTGTGTGTGTGTGTGTATGTATCTGTGTGTGTGTGTACTGGGTGGTACTGTGGTGTGATGGTGCTGGTGATCTGATCCGTATCAGGCCCTCATGCATACTAAGCAAACACTCTCCCACTGAGTTATATATATGCCCAGCCTGAGTATCTTTCCATGGAGTGTTTAGCCATTTGTATCTCAGCTTGAGTAGGGTAAGGGCTGAGAGAGGCTGGCCTCAAACCCTCTATGTAGCTAAGGCTGTCCTTGAACTGATTCTCCTGATTTCACCGTCCAAGTACTGGAATTATACTCATAATTCTTTTTTCTTCTTTTAAGTTTTTCAAAACAGAGTTTCTCTATATAGCCCTGACTATCTTGGAACTTACTTTGTAGACCAGGCTGGCCTAAAACTCACAGAGATCCTCCTGCCTCTGCCTCCAGAGTGTCAGGATTAAAGGCGTGCGCTACTACCACCCAGCTCATAATTCTTTTTTTAAAAAGAATTTTAAAGAATTATGTATTTATTTTATGTGTATGAATATTTTGCCTGTCAGTGAGCCATGTGTAGGTAGTTGAAGTGGAAACTTCTGGCTTCTTTGGAAAGTCAGTCATATCAAAGAATGTTTTGCTGAAGCAGACACAGATGAAAGTATGTTTTGCTAAAGCAGCCACATGAAAGGACACATGATGAAGGATTCTTCGCTAACTACACACATGTATTGGTTTGCCTTACATTGCATAATTGAGCTCCATTTGTCATGACTCTATAGAGAGAAACACCAAAAAGCTTCTGGTGGTGTTCTGGTAGCTTCTTGCTGCTTCTGAAGACTCAGGCCAATTGGCAGAGTGATGTCAGCTGATAAAGACTCACATGGAGTTTTTGCTAGGACAGACTCATGTGCTAAGACAAGACACGTGGTGAGGCAAGACCCATGGAGGGCACGTGATGTTTGGAAGGAGTATAAATAGTTCTCAACAGTGGCAGGGCTTGCTTGTATAGCTATTGCAATGCTTTTTGGTCTTTTTTTGTTGATCTTCACTTCATTGAGAGAAGCACAGCAGAGAACTTCTGGCATCTCTGCTGGTCTTGGTCGCTCCTGCTGACTTGTACCCATTTGGCTGAGGCTTGGCTGTTTCTGCTGGGTCATGCCACCACTGCTGACTTGTGTTTGTTATCCCAACACGACTAAACTGGACTGCTGGTATATTCGTGAAGTATTTGCAAGTAGATCAACCTGCTGCTGCTGCCTCCTATAAACTGAACTGCTGATTTCCTGACAACACAGATTGGATTTGCTCCAAAAAACACTTTCTAAACAGG